TGGTGGTGGGTACCGGAATTCTGGAAAGCTGGCCACTGCAGGATGTGATCCACACGCTGAGGCAGCAGGCTGGTGAGATCCAGCTCATCGTCTGGATTCCTGAGCCCTGAGAGGCTGCTCACACTGGAACTCTGGCCGTGGATTCCGCCGCCAGCGCCGTCAAACGCCCTGGATCGCGAGAGTGGGGGCAGCCGGTGCTGGCTGGAGAGGCCCGAGCCTGGAGCCGGAGCGAGAGCCGACAGTGGCGCCGCAGCGTCGGCAGCGCCTGGCAAGGGCACAGCATGCCGCAGTAGACGCTCCAGCTCGTCGATACGATCGAGGATCTTCAGGCTGGCGGGGTCGAAGCTTGACAGATCCACTGGGGACTGAATGCACGTGGCGCCGACGCTGACACAGTAGCTACAGGCGGGCTTCTTGTTGTCGCACTTGGTCTTGCGGGCTCTGCAGACCTGGCAGGCCGTGTTGGCTCGCTTCCGGGGATAGAAGGCCGTGCCGCGGGCGGCCGGACGCTTCCCCGGACGGCGGTTCATGCCGGCGGCGTCTGCCGGCGACTGTGGACCGTTGGCGTTGACGTCGCCGTCGGCATCCAGGTCGTCGACATCCGGGGCGAGGGCCATGGACAGAGGCGAGGCAGCTTGGCCAGGAGGACGCGCCATGGCGTTGGCGGCATGAGTACCAGCCACGCCGTTACCATTGATAGAGAAGCTACCTATGCCCGTACCCGTGCCCGTGCCTGTACTCGGGCCGGTGCCTGGGCCTGGGCCCGAGGAAGCAGAGCTAGGCCTAGAAGCGCTCGTATATGAGAGGGCCGTTGCGAGAAAGGGCAGTGGCTCCTGTCGCTGTGCGGCCTGTGGCCCTGGCGCTGGAGCTGAAGCTGGGTGAGACGGCGGCATTGCGGGTGGCGGCATGCACAGCACAGGGCCGCGGAGGACTACTTCAGGCCGAGTTCGACTAAGACTCGAGGCAAGGCAGACGAAGAGTCGCGATGATGCGGCTGCGGATGAGGGGAGAAGTTGGCTCGGGGAGTCTCGGTGGTGAGTTGAACGTGATGCTAGCAAGGCGCGATCGATGCTACCGGCTGTCAGGTGGCTCCTTGTCCTTTATGATTCAGGTTGGGCTACGGCAGGTTGGTTTAGCCGCCTACAGGTCTGGGGGAGCCCTAAAGCTCGTTAGCGGCTCGACAGGGCATTGCAGGGCTCTGCAGGGCCGCTGCAGGGCATGGAGCCGAAAAGGAGGGGGGGGCGAGTCCGGGGCAGTCTGGGGACTTTGGGGCACTTTTGGGGGGGTTGCAGAGGCTCTGGGGCAGGCTGTAGGGGGTGCTAAGGGCCGCTATTCCTGGGCCGATCGATATTCAACCGAAAGGCGCACCGGCTCGTTTCGTGCGTCGACTCGATTTCGGAGTAGCGCTGGGCTAACCAGAGAGGCGTCGGCCGCTTGCTGTGGGATTTGACTTCAGGTTAATAAAAGGCGGCATGGCATCGTGGTTGTGTGAGTAATAGTATCAAAAGGTGGTTAGTGAAGAAAAGATGGATGGATAGGCTACTTTGATCTCGGCAGGGAGCAGAATTTTTTCTTCGTCTTTTTCCCTGTCTGGCGGTTTGTTTCCCCGCTCCCGGCAGGGTACATGAGTAATAGTACTTGGCTTGCGCGTTTCAGTTCCGATTCGCCGTCGGTTTTGATCTCTTCAACCTTTATTTTGTGAATTCTATTTCGATACCTTGCCGTCCTTGTCCTTGTCCTTGTCCCGGTTCTTGTCATCCCTCATCTGATATTGCTACAACACTTACTCGTACTACCTGGCATTGTATTTTTATTGCAGTACCACGGTGTCATCCCGCCTCTCTCCAGACTCGGATGTTACCGCCTCCCGTTGTGATGCATGTGCCAAAACTCCCGACGGGCGCACAGGCCCGGCTTCGGCAGATTTCATCTCGACTGTGCAACGTGAATGCGATGGTCATCATCATCCATACTATATTGTACGGCATCAATGTTTACGAAATACAAAGAGGCAAATACGCCGGGCCAAAATAAACGAGGTGGTCTGTGTGTCTCGCCGTCCGCCTCCAAACCTCACCTATCTATCTGCCCATTTTGTGCAGCTCATCGAGCCACATCAAATTCTTCGTATACCCCCGCATCGCCAGCATATTGTTGCTAGCCATCTGCTAGTCTTGGGTTTAGCTCCAGCCCTCGCCTTTTACCACACGGGAGAGGCAGCGTGACAAACCGCCCATCAAGGGGAAGCAGCCAATGGCGCCTCTCAAGCAGCGCCATCACGACGCCGGCCGTCTTACACAGGTTAAGTTGGCTTTGCTGCTTATCGCACAACTGCCGGGGAGCGTCGCCCCTCCACTGGTGCTGGTTTTTGTGTTTATGCTGGTGAGAACCTCTTTGTGCTTCTGCTTCTGCTTCTGGCCTTTCCCTTCCCCATCTTTTGCCTCCCCTGCATCCACCCGTACCCCGGACTTCTCCAGGCTGCAAACCCTATTCGACGCAGTCTTTTTTGTCTTCATGCCCGTCCGCCTTCTAGGCCAACCACGTCCGTCCTAGGCCCTACTCGTGCTTCTTCTTCTTTAGCCGCTACCAATCACAGAATCGGTCCGAACTCTCCACAGGGACTTGCTGCAGTGCAAAACAGGATGCATCAACACCATCGATTGAGACTCTGAACCCATGCCGAATGATGACCGCAATCGCCTCACACCACAGTCTTTGCCAAGTATATGAACCTCGGGGCCGCCTCTGTCCCAATTGCCTTTCTCGCTCTCGCCAAGCTGTCAGCCGCCCCATAGTCTCTGCTGCTCTCAAGATTTCCAGACTTTGGTGGTGAACAGACAAGCAGACAGACAGACAAACTAGAGGAAGCCTCCTCATCGCCATCATGGGCTCTTCTGACGATGAGAAACACTCTGGTGCGGCGCTGGAGGCGCACATTTCCGGCGTCGACGACATCAACCCCAAGGACGATACCGTGCGAGTCGACATCCAGAGGGAGCATGAGCTGACCGTCAAGGAGGTTTTTGTCAACCACCCCGCCCTGGTCTTTTGGGCCTTTTACTGGGCCATGTCCGGAGTTGGCTGGTGAGTTTGAGAGTAGCTACATCCATCATTCAAATTTCATTCAACTAACACATCTCTCCCAGGGGTTTCGATGCTCAGGTCAACGGAGGCATGCTCTCTGTTGAGCCATTCCGCCGCGACTTTGGCTACTGGTACAATGACACAGACGGCTACGTTATCCCCGCCGACTGGCTGAGCGCCTTCAACACCATCAGCGGTGTTGGCCAGTTCTTTGGCGGCTTTGCCTGCTCTTGGGTCGCCGATCGCTGGGGTCGCAAGGCCGCACTGCTGGCCGGCATCGCCATCGTCACGGGAGGCATCTTTGGCGAGATGTTCTCTACCATCAGGCCCGCCTTCCTCATTTCCAAGCTCATTCTTGGCTTTGGTCTGGGATTCTACCTGACGCTGTCACCGCTTGCTGCCTCCGAGTGCGCTCCTGTTGCCTTCCGTGGTATCGCCACTGCTGGCGTGCAGTTCGGCATCGGCTCCGGCCAGCTGCTGTCCAACGCCGCCATCAAGGGCTTTGGCTTGCGCACCGACAAGTGGGCTTATCGTGCTCCGTTTGCCATCCAGCTCTTCTTCTGCCTCTTCCTCATCGTCTTGCTCCCCTTCGCCCCCGAGACGCCGTGGTATCTCGCCCGCGCTGGCAAGCGTGATCAGGCCCTCAAGTCTCTCCGCTCCCTCTACGGGTCCGACGTCGACCTCAACGCAAAGCTCGCCACCCTCGAGGCCACCATTGCCGAAGAGGAAGCCTCCAACTCTGAGCAGGGCTCCTTCATCCAGTGTTTCAAGGGCACCAACCTCGTCCGAACCTGCATCAGCATGGGCGTCTTCGTGTGCCAGCACTTCACCGGTATCATCTTCGTCATGGGCTTTTCCACCTACTTCTTCCAGCTGGCCGGTCTCCCCCAGTCAAAGAGCTTCAACCTCGGCATTGGTGTCAGTGCCTGCGGATTGGGTGGTAACATTGTCTCTTGGATCGTCATGAACCGACTTGGTCGCCGCAGCCTCTTCGTCGGCTGCATGTGCATTCTGACCCTCATCCTCTTCCTCATCGGCATCATGGACGTTGTGCCCACCGGCGCCGCCAAGTGGGTGCAGGCCTCCCTCACTGTCGTCTACGCCTTCTTTTACTACATCGGTCTCGGCGCCATGGCCTTTGCCATCCTGGGAGAGGCGAGCAGCACCTCCCTCCGAGCTCCCACCATTGCCCTCGCCACGGCCACCCAGGCAATCATGGGCATCATCTTCAACTTTGCCATCCCCTACATGGTCAACCCCGACGAGGCCAACCTTCGGGGCAAGGTCGGATTCATCTTTGGCGGGCTGGCCCTCATTGCCACCACATGGAGTTGGTTCTACGTTCCTGAGCTCAAGGGCCGCACGTTTGACGAGATTGACCGCATGTTCCAGGCAAAGGTCCCGCCCAGGAAGATGGGCAGCTACCAACTGTCTTCTTACTAATAGTTGTGCGTATTCTATTGAGAGGGGAATTTATCGATGGAGATGTTGGTTGGGATTTGGGCTTTGCTGTTTTTTTGAATGCTATTTTATGGCCATGATTGATGACATGTTGGTTGACATTTGGGTGTTGCCGACATTTTACTATACCCTGCGTAACAATACAAAACATTGATGTTTTTGACAATCCTCATCACTTGTTCATTGTGAAGAATCAAAAGAATTAAAAGCCTTTGTGACACCAGTTGTGATTGAGCCAATGTGCGGTAAATAACCAGGAATACCAATTTTGTTTCCTCTGTCTTTTGGTTTCTATATACCATTGTTTCCAAGTATTTCAAATATCCAACGCCAACGCCAGATTACATAGGTTGAATATATACCCGCAACGCACGCTTTTTGTAAATAAGCAAGACAAATCCAAGAAAAGACAAAAAAGGCAGCGCACAATATCAATACATCAAGGCTAATCAAGATCATGGATATTTCGTCTGTGCATTCACTTGCACAGCTTCAGAACTGCCGCCCAGATCCTCGGACGGGGATCTGCCCAACGATCTCTCTTCTGCATCGCGCTGCGGGCCCAGCTTCGCCTTCCACCCCATGTACCACGGCCCGGAGAACAGCTCCTCCATTCTCTCCATCGGGACGCCCTTTGTTTCAGGGGCCCAGAGGCCGAGGACCACGAGGCCGATGAAGCAAATGCATGCCCAGAACACGTACGCGCCCCAGATATTGAGGCCGTCAAACATGGCCGGCGTGGAACGCACGACGGCAAACTGGAAAAACCAGTGTATCGTCATGTTGGTTGCGTAGCAGACGCTTCTTACCCGCGTGGGCAGGATCTCAGTGCCGTACAAGTACTGGATGGTACACAGTCCGATAGACCAGCCAACAGCATAGATGAACACAGATGCAACGGCGGCATCGGACGCGGACTTATTTTGAGAGTCGATCCAAATGCCCATGTAGATAGCCATGTATACGTGCGTGGCGCCCTGGAGGAACAGACCGCTCATGAAGCAGATGCGCCTCCCAATGATGTCGATGAGGCCCCACGTGAAAATCATGGTGAAGAAGAGCTTGAGCGCTCCATAAGCGCCAGAGTTGATCAACGATATATTGTCACTGCGGACACCGGCATATCGGAAAATGGTGGGGATGTAGTATGTGATTCCGTTACCGCCCGTCCACTGGGCAATTGCCTGCATCGCAAGGCCCAAGAGAAACCGCTTGCGATAGGTGGGAATGGTGGCAACTTCTTTTACAAGCTGCCACGTCGTGGTGTCGGACAGCCGTTGCTTCGCATCTCGCGCCTGCTCAACGATCTCGGCATATTCTCTTTTAACGGCTGAGTCGTTAGGAGGCGCTCCTCGCAGTCTGGATAGCACGACGAGAGCCTCGTCATTGCGGCCCTTCGATGCAAGCCAGCGAGGAGTGTCCTTGAGAAAAGACGAAAAGAACAGGGCAATGCCTCCGGGGATCAAAGGCACGCATAGTACAACGCGATATTGCTCCCTGGACGGGGGTAGAGACTTTCTGGCTCCATAGCTGATGAAGAACCCTGTAAACATGCCATGTTAGAGACGAATGAATAATCAGCAAGTATGGAAAATCTTTGAGTGACCAACCGAACATGAGGAAAGATAGCAGCAATACCATGTACACGGACACCACCATCCCTCGAGACTTGGATCGAGCAATCTCCGTGAGATAAAGGGGTGCCACGACCGTAAGGCCACCAGCACCAACGCCAGAGAACAGCCGCGAGAACAGCAACAGCCCCATTATTCCAGATGAAAAGGTCGTAATAAAGAAGCCAGTCATCCAAACAGCCATAAAGGTCTGCCATGTCCGCAGGCGTCCGAGCTTATCTGTAATGGCCAAGGCGATGATGGCACCAAACGCCGCGCCGAGGACGCCAAACGACGTTATGTTCGCTTTTCTCGCGATGAGCTCGTGCCTCCTGCCCTCCCACTGTCGTCCTATTAGGCCTAGGTCATGTAGGAAGGATGGCATGTCTGCCACTGCAGCAAATCCGCCTTCATCGTAGCCTTGAACAACAGGTCAGCGGTTTTTTTTCGGTGCAGCCCAGCGAATAGGGGGGATGGCGCTAGAGGACAAGAAAAGACGCAAAAGAAACCACAGCCGATTTCTATCAATGGAAAAGATATATCTCACCTTTAGGAATAGACCCGCTGGCAATAATGATAACGGTCAAGATAAAAAAGAGATTGGGTCCAGCCATGATCGGCCGGCTGTTGGTGATTCGTTCCCGGCGACCCTCCGCAGATCCAACTTCGCCCCAGTGTTAACGCTGGCCAACGGAACGTGTCCGAATATCAAAACCAACCGCCCCCAAATCGTTTCGCATTCACCCTCTTGCAGCCGCTATGGGGTTATCTTGTCGATTTGCTGCCATCAAATGCCCGCCCTGCAGCGGATCGCGCAACCTTCAGCCGCTTTCCGTTGTGCTTCTGCCGGCACTTGGTGCACGCCGCTAACGCGTAGGATCGGAGGTGATGGCAACGGAGCCGAGTGGCTCTCGAAGGTGGACACTTTTTGATGGATTGCGTTCCGTGTCTCCCTGCAGGTTCGAGCCCGGCTGGATGTTTTGTCTCGCCTCGGCCAAATTCAACGGTCACGGCCCCAGGATGCGAATTGCCCGGTCACCAAAGACGGGAGAACGAAGCATTGTCGCGATGAAAAGGGTTCGGCGCCGAACCAGCTAACCAACCGCTTCCCAACTCGGATTCGTTTCTCACTGGCCATGGGCTTGCGACCCCGCTCCCGTTCTGGTAGACCGAGGTCTATGCAGAGCGCATTCTGGCTGTACATGTACCAGAAAGAGGCGTCTAGATTACAGGCTGTTTTAGGTACTCGGTACCGAGAGAGTTTTAGCCGACATTTAACCCACTATGACACCGGCTCCAGCCCAGACCCAATTGAGAAATGCCCCGTGTTGCCTGAGGCCAAAGGAATTGGCGCCTGTTTGGGCGACCGAGCCTCGTCCCAAGAACGCATGTCCAGAAAGCACAAGTGAAGCTCAGAAAAACATCACCAACCCAGAGCCATGGTGTTGCACGGCAATGGACGCGCTGTGCGCCCCTTGTATAGGCGGAGATGGAGCTCACGGTAGTTCATGTGCCCGTTGCATGCGAATCCGTGTGGGGGACCATCGGCCAACTTCCGATCCGAAGAGCCCAAGCTCCAAGCTCTCGAGTCCCACAGCAGCTGTGAGGCTCCATGATGTACGAGTACAGCATACATAAGACGCTGGAACTCATGACAAAGCCCCGATCGTGTGCCCGCCATCTGGGCCATCCCAACGGACCAATGCGGCTGCTCCCGTCGACCCCGTCATTGCTAGTTTGCGTAAGTCTCGCGCCCAGAGAAGCATCACTCCAGAGGACGCGCCATGGATCTAGTTTTGTAGAATGACCCCCTTGCGGGGCACCCCCTTGGGTCAGATCTCCTCATTGTGAGAATATCACTCATCATTGGACCGAGTAGATGCTTCGGGAAGTTGCACAAGTATATGCCGATTTATGCTCCCTGCCAATCGCCGTGCTGTACGGAGTATATACGAATATTCCGTAATATCCAGCATCATAAAGGCCGCCCTGGTTCCTCTTTTATCCCCGACTTCCTCTCGTGCTCAGATGATAACTGTATCGTACTTCGTATCGAATGTAATGGGTCCTCTGGCTAGTAGCATTCTCAAAATTGATTGTGGAGATGTATCCGTTCTTGCTCTGCAAAAGGAAGTTGTACGTTTCGTCGTTGGTCCCAATAAGAGGAGATACCTAACAACCATTCCAAGGTCAGCACTCGTCATCGATGACATTATTAAGGGGCGGTGGGTAAAAGCCGACCCAAAACTGCGGTCTTTGTGTGTGTGCTCCGTTCTTATCCATACCAATGGGGATTTATCTGGAATTCATCCGTCAACAGCCTGTTCTTCACCAATTCGTCATCTCACCGCGGAGAGGAAAAAGTTTCTGCAAAGCCCATTTTCATCCTCATCTGTATACGAGCAAACGAGTACCACACCTCGTCTGCTACCAGCGCGAATGGCTTCATTCATGAATAATTCCACGAATAAAAGCGAAATGGTTCGTTTTGGGTTAATGTCGGCTAGCTGATTCAGTAGGTAGCATTGATGGTCATCCATTCGATCCTCCGCGCTTCCGTGACCAGGGATGTGATCAGTCAATGGTGGCTTTCCATCGTCAAAAACCATTGGTCGTGTGCTTTCATAGAGGAATCTCTCTATCTTCTTGTCGATGATAGCTGCATATCTGTGGGTCCATTGTCTCACTCTGAGCGGAGTGAAGGTTCCCATCCAGCACAAATGATTCCATTGTTAGCCTGGAGAATAAACTCTTTGGCTGAAACATGCAGATAGAGGCGTCGGGAGTTGAAACATGCGCCCAATGCAGCAAAGGACCACAGTATCCGAACAGCATAGAGCCTGTGTCAGTCGAGAGAATGTTCGCCTGTTGTCAACGTAGAAATAAACACTGTATCCATGTGGATGGCACCGTTCTGGCGGTACCGGCAGTTTCCAGCATACCTAACGCGGAGTACTGCTCGCATGTAATCAGTACTATATGTAGACATCCCTTCAGAGACCCCGCAACCGACGTATTACGGAACATATACTCTTTTCACGCATTGATGCCGAGAGCCGGGATTGGGTTAATAAAGCCATTACCCGTAGGCTTTCGGCCAACTTCCGTCCTGCTGCCATATTGTAGTATTACCTCTGTTTCTTGTGGACAGATGGACTCCATCCAGAGCGTCACCGAACGATTGATGGCCAGGGATGCCGCCCCGCAAGCATTCCCCGATCTGGATTCGATATATATATATACCTAAGTAAGAGCCTCTGATCACAAGGTAAATCTCTCTTCCACTCACCTCCCTTTGAAGCACTTCAATATGCGATACGAAGCTTCCACTGGCACACGATAAGGACGGGGCTGTGATCCGAACTAGGCCACGTGGACAACAGAGCTGCGAATGTGTGATGAATATTGTTTTTGTTTTTTTCTTCTGTCTAACGGCTACAGTCCTATAATGAGACATCAGCTCGACGTTCGAACCGACGCCCCGGACGAGGCCGCGTACGAGATAGACGCCATGGACACATGACGAAGATCATACCAAGCTATCCCCTAAGATATGGGCTGAGCAGCCGTGGCCGTCTACAGTGGCACGGTCTAGCTCTTGTTTTATGTCGAGCTACGATAAAAGCTTATTATTTTAATCGGTTCGACTACTTTCCGAAGGTGTTTCTCCTAGGACGAGGATAAGACGACAGGCCCGTAGACCCGGCGAATGAGGGTGGCTAGAATGGATTTTGCGGATCGGTGTTAGGAAGAGCACCGACTCTGACGCTGAGTGGCTCTAAAGATGACATTGCCTCAAAGATTCCTGGATCCATGGACATGGTATGGGTGCCGTAGCTGTGAGTTGAAGGAACATGAAATAGTGGATGAACAGCCTGCGGTTGCGAAGAGGGCACCTCGGTAGCCTGATACACTGGACTTCCTTGAGGAAATTCGGCGGCAGCAGGAGGTGGGGGTGGTTGGTAGTGGTCTTGCACATCCAACGAGATACCGACCGCTGAAAGCTCCTTGTTCAATAGGTTTATGGCGCTGCCGATGACTAAGATAAGTCAGAAAAGGTTTGACTCAGACATCCAGGATATAAAGGGAGCAGAACAAGGAAAGGGTATGCCTAGGTCTGTGACTTACCAGGGCTAAACGTCCTGACTTGCTTCAAAGCTTCGATACAGTAATTCAGGCGCTCAAGGGCTTGCCCATCATCTGGGGCAGCCTGGACCTGAAGTAAGAATATTGATGAAGCAATGTAGACACTGTACGCCAGCGACAGTACACAGTAATTCATCGTGAACGTTCGGCAAAAAAGATCAAAGATGGCTATGATGGCGGTGGCGGAGGTTACACATTCGACAAGGCAGCGCTTATGTGACGCAACGTCATCTTCCAGTTTTCTGCGAGTGAGCATCGGACGGTAAAGAAGGATCTTAAACGTATGATAGAGACAACTATCCGACGGTTAACGATCTCTACGGAATCGGCGATTGGGACCAGCCAAGACTTACTTTGTGGTGACAATATGAGATGGTGGGGCCAGGTTGGGCAAGGCCATGGGCTCCAGCTTCAGATACGGGGCCAGCTCGTCCCACCACTGCTGCAGAGCCGGCTCCTGGGCAGTCAAGCACTCCTGCACTTCGGATTCCGTATTCTGCATGAGTGGGTCGTACATGTGAATCAAGATCTCGTTGAAGATGACTGATAGCCGACACATGCTCAGGAAGCACGAGGCTGAGTGAGCAGTGGATGGTGGATACTTCCAAGGTGCAGTTTGAAGTGGAGGTGCGCCAAACGGAACCCACAGCTCGTTCTCAGCAGAGTCATCGACTAACAACAACAGACGTTAGCAGGCAGCGGTCAAACATCAACATGAGCGACTTACACATGATCTGAGGCGGAGATACGGTAGTGTGCTTTAACGATGGTGAGCGACCGAGATAGAGACTGATGATTTTGTCCCAGAAATAGCACGACCAAAAGACTCGATGTCGGATTTCCACTTCTTCGTCGCTGAAATGGACCGAGCCAGGATACCGTTCTCCGTCGACATGTATTCCCAGGTGGTCTATCAGCCGGAATGCCAGGCCGCTGTATGTCCAAGCTTGGGTTGTGTTTCCAAGACTACACTCTTGCGCGCTTAAGAGCAACAGGGTTTGGACAGTCGGGATCGTGCAAACACCCCTGCTCAGTTCGTCAAACAGCATGCTGCGTGCGTGCTTACCAAACACAGCACCTCCGTCGTACGACTCATCTAGAATGCGCTTTGTATTTGGATCGCTCTTTGCCCATCGGATTGAATGCGAGAGAACAGCGTTGAGGAGCGTATGGGAGTAATATGGACCCAGGGATTGCATATCGCCTACAAAACTCGTAAATATCACTGGGGAAAAATAGAAAGAACGAAAAGGAACTACAAGGGTGCGTACGAGTAAAAGCAGGTCGGTAGATGAAGTTGAAGAGGGGTTGTATCCAGCACCAGTGGACATTGAGAAGTGTTTGGAACGGTTCCTGCAAAGAGAAAAAATCATGAGAACTAATGCTATCAAATAGCGAGCACACCATATCATCACACGTACGGGAATTCCAGAATGCTCCTCCAAGACACGTTGCTGCCATGCGTTTGAGACAAGGCGCTCTCTCCGTTGGGTTTCGACTTCGGTAGCCGAGGCGTGTAAGTCGACAGCCACGGCGGCAGAGCTGTGATCACTGGGGAGGTTGAAGAAGCTGGTCGTCCCATGGTAGGTGATGCCGCCTTTGTCGTCTATCTTGAGGCCTCGGAAACTTCGGGCTATGCTGTCGTCGATTTGCTGCCGGGGGTCTTGCTGAGCCGAAGGACTTGAGTGACTTGACGCGGGAGATTTGCTGTTGCTGGCCGCCGCCGGTGGTGTTGCTGCCGTCGCCTTTGCAAGCTGTTCCTCCAGATCCTTAATTCGGTCTTCCAGTCTCTGCGTATACGACAACGTCGGGTTCCTGCAGAACGAGTCAGTCAACCACAAGGGATGGAGCCACCAGAAGTAAGAGAAGAGTCTCAAGTAAGTCACACAGTTTATACACGCATTCATCGTTACGAGCAGCGCAGCGTTGGCACATGGGCTGTTCGCCGCCGCACTTGACCTAACGCCACCAGCAAAGTCAGCTCTGGACACTGGACCAATCTCTCGTTTCAGCGTGCCATCTTGCAGCAGAGGCTAGAGACAGCAACGCTGCAAGCCAAAGCTCAAGCTCACCTTGCGCCTGCGACACGGCTCGCAGGAGAACGCGCTCTTCTTGGTGGCCTTTGCCGACGACATGGCGGGCTGGTGGCACCTCGAACTCCGGCGGGCTGAGGAAAAAGAGACTGGACAATTGCTGGCGAGAAAAGAACCCTGTGCCTGTGCCTGTGTCTGTGCTTGGCTCGCAGGTCTAAGCTCAAAGCACTGCCCCGCGTCTCATGCAATTTGATCCCCGCTCCCTATGCCGGGATGGCCAACGATGGAAAAGCCACAGCTGTATGTCTGATTGGTGAGCTGGGCATTAGTGAAATTGCCGCTGCCGCGTGTTCCTGATCCAGATGCCAAGATGCTCGAATCCGGTACGTGGTGATGCAGTGAGACAAATGCCGTGCGAAATTTGCTGGGCATTAAGCATCGTTGGTGCTGATCAGGTGACTCAGCCAGCACTGCTTGCCTGTCAAAACTCAAAAACTCGGTACATGCACCCGCGCAGGCAAAACGCCGGGGCAATCAAGTAACTGCTGGCGTACTTATTGGCGGGCGCCTCTGCTTGAGTACATGCAAAGTTAGTACATAAGAGGCAGTTCAGGTTGCGCTTTTTGTCGGTTGGGCCTGACAAATGCCGGTTTTCCCAACGTCGGCGACCAGCCTTCACAAGCCGGAGCGTTACGGAGCAAAATGGCACCCATTTTCGGAGTTGAGGCGATGAGTAATCGGGGATACCCGCTCCGTAGCTGCATCGTCGGCATTGGCCGAGAGCTACGACCCAAACAAGCATCTTTTGTCAATGCCGAATACGAGTGAGTTCTTTATTTACAACAGCATACATATTTATATAAAGTCACATTCTATATCGTAGCAGTAACTGATAATTGAGAATGGGTTCTTTGGAGGTAGCAATGGTATACATCAATTAGGCTTTGGTGCCGTCCGGAATCTACTCTAGCAGGTAGGTAAGATCACTTCGTACTTTAGGCTTGTATAACGTTATTAGTATATGCAATAGTCATGTAGGGTAGCTCATCGTGCTGGCAGCTCCAACGCCAGATTAATCTTGTCAATTGTCCATAGCGAACACTGGCCTTTTTAATTGCATCTTAGATGGAGGCCTGCCTCTTCACCTATTAATCTTTGTATCAATTGTCCGTATATTGTTGGTACAGGCATGTTGGTACCTGGGGTGCCGGGCCGGGCCGGACTGTGGGGCTGTCAATGCCGTTGGTTGTACTGTGACGGGTTATAAGGCTGATTGTATCATTCATGTCTTAAATAGCAAAAAGCTACTGGTCTCGAGGATGCAAGCTAAGATGGCAGACGGGCTTAAGCGAGTGACCAATTGCCATGCACACAGAAAGGGTGCAATGACCTGGAATGGAATGATCGGCTGACACTATTGGCTAAGACACGGATCCTTCGGCCCCCAAATCACATGCTATGCTATACATCACAAAAAGTCACAGGCAAAGCTACTCAATCTTTCGGTCGTCATCAATTTCACTTTCATTTTCAGGCCGTTAATTTTATATACATTATGGTATTATATCCCCTTTCCCTCTAATTTACTGAGAGCAGAGGCTGTTGTGGACGGAAAGAGGGTTGGAGGAAGCGTCACCCCAGTTGAGGCTGCCGAGCTGCTGGCCCAGAGCAGTTGAGCCGTCAGCACGGAGGTAGTCGGCTGCGAATCGTTAGCGATCTGTAATAAAAAAGAAAAATCTTGCTTGTTTCAAGATTCTGGGTGTGCGATACTTACTGGCGACGGGGAAGTACCACCAGTCCTGGCTTCGGAAGGCGTTGTCGTCCAGCTGGGACAGAGGGTCGTTCCAGCCCTGCGTGTCAAACAGTCAGAAAAAGAGTCAAAAGTTACAGTTACACAAGTTCTTTTTTCAACTTACAGTGTTGCGGTCATCGTAGTTGGCGTGCTTGCTCCAAGCAATGTAGACCTTGGGGTGGTCAAGGTTCTGGCGGCCGTTGTCACCACCACGCTGAAGGGTGCCATCGGCAGTGTTGAAGGTGTTCTGGATATCGCTCCAGTTGAAGGTGCCATAGCCAGAGTGCTGGGACAGAAGGAGTTTGCTGGGGGTCCAGTTTGAGTCTGAGCCCTTGGCCCACTCGACAATGACACGCTCCCAGTCGCTAAATGGTGTTAGTGATATGAACATTATCAAATCGAAGTTGGAGGGTACTCACTAAGGGTGGCCCAAAATACCCTGGGGGTTGGTACTAAAAGGTTTGGTCAGTATCACGAACCCTCATAGATGATGGTAGAGTCAGCTTCAGAGAGGCCCAAGACTTACCCATCCTTCTCGTAGAACAGAGAGTACTGAATTCGGATGGTGGTGTCGGTACACTTCTGGTAGGAGTAGTAGGTAGGGAATGAAGGCGAAGGGTTCGTGATGCCAACGCCGGGGGTACGGCAGCTGCAGCCAACGTTGGGATAGTCGCAAAGGGGGGCGGAGGGAGTTTGTCCACCGCTGGGAGTGGTGGCAAAGGTGGGAATGCAAGGAGGCTGGTTCATGGCCTGGCCGAAGAACCACATGGGCTGGGCCCTCATGGCAAGTTCGACACCTCCGGCATTGAGCAGGTTGTTCATGTCGGAATCGGAGACGGGAGTGACGGCGGAGGCCAGGGAGGCCAGGCCGGTTCCGGCGAGGAGAGTCTTGATGGCGGTCTTCATCTTGATTCACTAGGGGGATATCTGGTGAGAATTGGAGGCTGGAGGGTGGCGAGACGAGAAAAAAGGGCGAGGCAGCAGAAGGGATGGCAGCTCTATTATATACTATGATCTTCGTCCCCATTTATGTACATCCCTTTGGTCCCTGCACGCTCCATTGCGATCAACAAAAAGGCTTGTGATGGAGCCATCAGTAGCAGGCCAACCCGTGTCTCTGTAGTATGCTTCTGCGTCGACCTGCCTATTCCATTCAACAACGGATGTCGCCAATTCACTAATCGGCAGACCACCAATCGGGCAGACCCCCTCCGTAGCCTCCTCGGCCGAGTACTCCGTACCCCCTTTTGGGCTTGTTCGACCGAGGACGCCTTGTGGACGGTCTAGCCATTGGCGCTTGGAGGTTGATACAATTTGGCAGGTCTGGGAGGGCGAAGCGCGGCTGACGCTGAGTCGAGTGCTTACAGAGTCACATTAGGCCGTCACATCATTCATGCAGGCAACGTTTAGCCCCTGGCTAGAGCAATGGGGCGCCTTCAATCCAAGTGCCAAATTAGGATGGGTGGAAACTCGCGGGGAGGTGGAGAGTTGCAACCATTCGTGGAGATGCTTCTTGTGTCCGTCTTGAGATTTGCAAAGACCCGATGCAAAGTGTCCATGTGTAAACTGTAGGTAGTATTTAGAATGCGAGTATGGTAACGTTAGAATGTCATCGGACTCTCGGCGATGATCAGGAGAGATTTCAATGAGCATTTTGGCTCTATCTGCCTGCCTCGGCAGATAAATGACTTGGGGGCTCATATGCCTTTTCGCGCACTTGATGCCAAGCAAATGCCCGTGCAGTCGCATCTCATGGAGCGGTATGACTTGGCGTTGTGAGACCTTGTACACACCGTAACTACATAGCCTCAAGGTTGACTTGGATCTATTCACAAGGCCGCAATTAGTCGCCAAGTGATCAGCGATGATCCCAAGGCCGCTAGCACTAGAACCGTGCTGTCAACGAATGCTTCAGCTGACCAGTGTGCATTTACTGTCCGCTTTTCCACCTATCAGATCATCTTGAGGACATCGAAATACTTGGCTTTTGGCTTTAGCGATGCGAACTACGCCGGAAATGCTATTGTAATGAACTCCTAGATCTCGTATTGTCGCCCTAAAGACAAGCAGAAGAAGAGGAAGAGGTGAAGAAGGCGGAAAAGCAGGTGTGCTCTAGCTCCCGAAGTGGGAAAACGGATATGCCTATCTTGGAAACATTCCCGATAAGCATTAAGCAAGAATCATGGTTGTTTATTCCTTAGCCACGCTGCTATTCCAGTTTGTGATGGGCATTGCATATCGGCATGTGCTAAACCCATCTCCGGCCTCGTGGCCTTCGGTGTCCAAATGGTTCAAGGAAGCTTTTCAAATGCAGCTATTTAAACCTCGTGGCCTCGCCATAGGATACCAGACGTCCGTCGCGGATGTTTTGGACAAGGAATTGTGCATGCCAGTGGAATTGCCTCTGAGCGCTTGCAAATAAACCGCGCCCAGGTGCTGAGTAGGCAATACAGGATTGGCCATGATGCATGTCTTGGAGCTTGCCGACGGCCGCAATGGAGGAGAAAAAATCGAGATGACATCAAAACACAAGGCCTTGGTGCGGGCTCTAAGCGATGAGATCCACAGATCAAAGGGAATATCCCTGCAGGCTTATAAAGGAGGCTAGGGTTTGTTGGGGGGATGCTTTTATTCACCGATGCATCTGTCTGCTGTCTTCAAGCTATCATATGTTTCCGTTGAATGTAACATGCAGTCTGTGGTACATGATAGTTTCTGTGCTCGTGTATCTATTTCACATGCCATTTGACGCGATTCAACAGAAACTGAGGGATATTTTCGACATCTCCAATGCAAGTGGCTGGGGTTCTGATTCGACACGGACAGGGGTTTCTTCAAGTTAATCTAGTCCGCAAATTATCGAGTCATGATGGTACCATACATGCACTCTGCCAGGTACACAGATCTAGCTTACATGTATCCGTGTAGATGGTAAGACATCTGTGACAGCCAAGCCACCATAGCCTATCGGTTTGAGCCGAAAATACTAGATAGATGGTGCTGAATCAGACGGAAAAGCCTCTCCCGTGAAACGGACAAGATTGCAGGTCAATGCTCTATGCTTATAATAAGCCTCGAGCTAAACTTCCAACTCTATTGGAGAAATGAATGGGGTGAACCACGGCGAGGTGCAACAACATGCCGATAGCTTACACAAGACTTCAATAGTTTGAGCAGTGACGTTAGTTGATATCTCCTATCAAGTCCTGTCTACTCGATTAGATATACCATGGGCGTGTCTGTGCTAGTGTGGTCCCATTCAAGGTTACATGTAGACTCGTAGGAGCATGCAAGTCCACTTAGCTCAAGGGTGCTTAGGGTGCCATTCCGGAGCGAATTTGGTAATTTTCCCTAGAAATTTTGACAATGGATATTTCTCACGTCATTCGTGTCGAGAGCAGGCATTTCGGCAACAGCGGGTAAGTTATACTAGGTGATTGCTGCGATATGATATAAAAAGTGGGAGAAACGGATCGAGGAATTATTGCTGTTTTGAGCACTGTCAGAATAGTTGTCTTGGACAATGTCTAGTAACATAACATGGCGAATCCTACATTTAAGATTCACAATGTACATCAATCAGTCTTATAGATGGACATAACGTGTTGGTCATATGGATTTATGCATGACTGCATCACCTCATAACATATTTACTATGACTTCTGCGAGCAAGATCACGACAATCATATCATACAAGCCTCAGGGGCAGCTCCTTGCCGTCAATCCAGGTTTGCAAATCCCTCGTCGCCTGCTCATAGAAGCCGTTGATGGCCGTCTCTTCAACGTAGCCGGTATGCGGCGTGACTAACAAATGACTCCGACCATTTTTACCCCATTCAGAGCTCCTCCACTCACTGTCCACAGGAAGAGGCTCCTGCCAAAAGACATCGAGCGCGGCGCCGCGAATCTTGCCGGCCTTGAGAGTGTTGAGCAGGTCCTGTTCGTTGACGAGCGGGCCTCGGGACGTGTTGTGGAAGAAGGCCGATGGCTTCATCATGTCAAAATCTTTGGATGTGATGAATCCTCGGGTGCGGTCCGAGAGCACATAGTTCAGGCTGACGACATCTGAGGTTCTGAAGAGCTCCTCGCGGCTGACGGCCTTGAAAGTCTTTTCTCCGGTGGAGGTTGTGACTGGCAAGTTGAAGTGCTTGGCTTGTTCGTCGGCAGCCTCCTGAGTGAGGTTCTGGCTCCAGGCTATGACCTTCATGCCAAAACCAACGTGGAGGATTCGAGCTGCGGCACCGCCCAGACGGCCAAGCCCGATGATACCCAGAGTCTTTCCGGACAGGGAAGTGCAAAGGCCGGTCTGCCACAGGCCCGCTTTCATTGCAGCGTCGTCTGCGGCAATGTTCCTTGCGAGTGCTAGGATCGTGGTCACGATATGCTCAACGGTACTCTCGACGGCATTCTCTCCAGTAGCATGGACGTGAATTGCCGTGGCCACGGGTATGCCCCGTGCCTTGAATGCATCAAGATCCAGTGACAGGTTGCGGCGTGCTTGTGTCATGAGAAGCTGCAGATTGGGCAGTCGATTCACCAGTTCTGCAGGGAACGGCGTCCGCTCTCTTACAGTACCTTTATTGGCATATTTAGTCTATGTCTCATTGTCGCTCAATACTAACGAGTATGAGGCCATACATACTTATGACATTAAAGGGCTCAAGCCTCTTGACCAACTCATCCTTGACCGACTGCGGGGTGTCTGGGCCGTTGTATGGCAGCAAAGTGTCTGGGAAGTAAGCAATCTCATGTTGATCCTTGAACTTTGCAAAGTGCTTCTCAGACGCATGTTGGTAGTCGTCTAGGACGGCAATCTTGAGTCTCTTGGCAGCCATGATGGGCAAACTTGAATTGACACTTTCAAGAGATCAGAGAGAATCGAATGATTGCAAGATTGTAAATATGATTGCGACATCGCTTTGTCTGTTAGTGGAGTAAACCATTGCATATACAGCCTCTTGCATTGCATTTACCCTTCCGGTTTGTAAGCGTTATATCCGCGTACAGTTCCCGGCCTCACGCTAGTACTGTCTCTCCGCATCTGATAAAGAAGTCGGCTTCTTCGACGGCAAATACTTCGTGTGCAAATTATTATGAGAACATGTTTGGGCTGTAAGTACTTTTGAACAGCCTATATGTGTTATAATTTGGCTGCGTTGAACACAATCCACGCTATCAGCGGGACGCTAAGGAAGCTCGCCCACCAATACCAAATGCCCGCTACGATTCTCGCCATCAAGTAACGAAACCTGGAGGGTGGGAGCGGTGCTAAAACTGCGAGTCTGTGAAATCCAGGAGAGAAAATCCTTGTGTATTGGGGTAGAAAACTCCTCCGTCGAGCATAACAATGAATTTTCCAGAAGGCTAGGTCCAGCAGATATAGCTCTAGGAAGAGCATCTTTGTAGCTAGCCAGACATATCGGGCCAGGACTAGAGCCTGGATTCCTAGATGGCACAGTGTCGGGGTTTGGCGTAGAGGATAGTATTCTTGTTGTAAGCGAATGAGGATCCTATCGTGGGCCTCTTTTGGTGTCATGGTGGCGCAGATGCGGACGTGTTGAAAGATGAGGCTCAGAATGAGATGCCATCGAAATAACTGCGACGAGTTGTAGCCATGGTGTTTGGCGTTTGTTGTGTTTGTCATCCATTCACTCTGCATGATTGTCCAAGATGAGGAAAGCGAAGCCCATGGAGGCTACGGATTAGCAAGGTGTCGAAGCGCTGATTATTGGGAGATGATTTGTGTCATATTGAGAGAAGTTGAATGGCCATCTATACCGTGTAGTTGAGTATAATAGGTTGTAAAAGCACATGCAGATCGGGGTTTTGAGATGAAGGAGTCGGTTAGATTGATGAGAAAATGAAATTGAATGTTCAGTGAGTGTGGTGGCGCACAATCAATCGCTATCATGGTGGGGTGAGCTCATGTGAGCACACGAGCATAGAGATTGACAAAGGAACCCCTATATGCAGGTAGGTACATGTATGTAGCCCAGCCTCTACAGGTATTCATTTGCACACGAATACCTGGTAAAGTAATGAATTAAAATGCTTTGTTTCATTATGTTTATACTGCTTTGATATTACAGAATACGTGTACATGCAATAATTACACCACCTATCGGCTGAGATGAACAGAATCCTAAAAGCCTAGACTCCCAACATTGATTGCAGATGAATTACAGCTTGCTTAGTCTCGACGCTCCATCTAATCGAATGACAGTTCCGTTCAACATGGGATTCTCAATAATGTGCTTGACCTATGCGGGTGCGCGTTAATCTCTGCAAGATTCAAACCAACCATTGTTGCACTCACCAAGATGGAAAAGTCGGGCGGATTGCCGGCTCTGTTCGGAAACACAAACGTGTCTTCTATGGCTTTCCGAACCCTGTCGCTCATGCCAGCCGTCAAATTCGTGTTGAACAGGCTGGGGGCAATGGCAACGACGCGGATGCCCCAGCTCGCCAGATCGCGAGACATGGGCAACGCCATTGATGCGACGGCTCCCTTGGTAGCCGCATAGGCGACCTGGCCGTACTGGCCGTCATAGGCACTCGAGCTGCTGACCAAGATGACGACGCCGCGCTCTCCGTCTGGGCCCTCGGGCTCGACTTTGGCGAGATGGACTGCGGCTTGCCGGACGAGGTCGATGACGCCTCTAAAGTTGACGCTTAGGACAAAGTCAACGTCGTCAATGTTCAGGGCCTCGCCCTTGCGGTTTAAGATCTGTATCTTGTTTAGCAAAATAGCCGGATTATGACATATGGCAATAGCAAAGCCCTACAGCTGCTGGAAGGCCAATGCCTGCCCCTGGGATGATACCGCCCAATGGCTTTCCCGTCTGCTTCACCCAGTCCACGGTGCCCTGAACGGCCTTTGCGATGCTCTCAGTCTCAGTCACATTGCAGTGGAAGAACTTTGCAGACGGTCCCAGCTCTTTTTCCAACTGCTTGCCGTCTTCTTCGTCGGACAGGTCGAGGACAGAGACATAGCCGCCAGCTTTGATGATTTCGATGGCAGAGCTCTTGCCGAGGCCGGATGCGCCGCCGGAGATGATGAAGGTGCGGCCCTGGATCTTCATGACTGGGGTGGATTGTAGGTGAATTGAATTGGTGGTGTTTCTTATGAAGGAGAGAAAAGAAGAGGTGATGCGAGATGTTTACATCTGTGAATAATATGTCATATTGCTAGTCATCAAGGGCGGTCGTAGTTGTGAAACCGGGGCGCTGTGCCGAGGCTCGAAGCTCCAGTCCAGCTCAATTGCCATTTTCAGGTGCTCCTCAGCACTAACAGCGTCGAGTCAGATTGTAGTCTACAGTACATGTATACCACATCAGGGCAGTTGATGGTGCTATGCCTTTTCAGAGCTTCCCAAGATATAACAGCAATGGGCATGATTCAGAAAGTTGGCCTGAGGCTCTCAAGGGATAATCTATAATCTCATCACTTTTTTTTCTAGCTCAACCTGTCCTTTGCAAGAATCACAAGTCATGTTGTACACCGTATATGAGCCACATGACGGTCCCGGAGTGGGTTCGACTCCATTCATATTCATGCCCAGCGGTAGCTTAGTCATTGGGCTGCGACCAGCGATAGGCAGTGGGCAGTTCAGTTCGTTCAGGCTTAGGTTTAGTGGGGGTTGGCGCCGTCTTCGCACTACGGGTGCAGCCATTCAGAGGGCCCGTGCGCTGAAAGCACAGTGACACCATCCCTGCATACCAAGCCACTTTGGTGACCCGAAGCGACATCACACATCCAGAATCTCGCAACGATATCTTTTCTTATCTCTGTGTTTCACTCTGACGACACCCGGCACCCTCGGCCTCTACCGCTGCATCATCGACAAGGACAGCGACGACATTCCAGCCCTTCTTTTATAACTTGCATTCGCCGGTCGAGACTTGCGCCCCATGATGAGACCCAGGCGGTCGTCCGGGGCGAGCGAATCCAGCACTGGAACAGCCCGCCCCGAACAGGTGAGGAAGCTCAAGACGAGGCCCAGGACGAGGCTGGTATGACGAGCTGACTGAGACAACAATGGGATAGGAACTCGGAAGCATGTACGACTACTTGGCCAAGATTATATTGCTGGGGCCCAGCGGCTCGGGGAAGTAAGTGGCACCACAGACGCCGCAGTTTCTGCAGCTTGACGATAGCTAACAGGGACATTCGCTGCACACAGGTCATGTCTGCTTCATCGATTTGTCAAGAACGAATGGCGAGTACTATCGTCACAGACCATCGGCGTCGAGTTTGCAACGAAAATCATCAAGGTCGGGAGCGGGGCGAGACGAAAGCGGATAAAACTCCAAGTAAACCATACCAACCCCTCGTCATCTATTGCTGGGGCCCGGACATGTGCTGATACAATCTTTCCTCTTGACAGCTATGGGATACAGCAGGTACCGAGCGGTTTCGATCGGTTTCGAGGTCGTATTATCGAGGAGCGGCCGGCGCAATCTTGGTTTACGACATCGCATCGCACTTATCCTTCCGAGGGCTACAACCGTTTCTTAACGATGCGCGGGCGCTAGCGTCTCCTCATCTGAGCGTCATGCTGGTGGGAAATAAGTTGGACTTGGCTTCTGAGAACCTCATTGATACAAGCTTGCCTCCTCCAACTCCCAGCAGCGTGGGCTCTGTAGCGACTATGACGGCAGGCGTCAACGGCGGGGCTTCATCTTCCTACAAGGACCATGCCGGTTCCATTGGAGCCGGCACCCAACAGAGAGCTACGGAGGCGCCAGAGGGTCGTGAGATATCATCTGCAGAGGCGAGCCGGTGGGCTAGCACCGTGGGCATTCCCGTCGTGACGGAAGCAAGCGCGCTTAATGGCGAAGGCGTGGATGAGATTTTCAACCGACTGGCCAGGATGATCTTGACCAAGATTGAGCTGGGCGAAATTGACCCAGACGACCCGATGAGCGGCATTCAATACGGAGACGGTGGCGGATGGAATACGGCTAGCGATGGAGGCAGCATTAAAAGCTCCATCACCGGTGGCACGTTGGACGAGAGCCTCAGCGGCCCACGGAGGCACAGAAGAGGAAAAGGCCGAACCCAGAACTGGAATCTGCGGGAATGGGAAGAAGTCTTTACGCTGAGCAGCCGGAGGAGGAACAGAGGATGCTGTTGATGAAGACGCCCATGACTTACGACCTTTTTGTTTGCTTCTTTTCTTTTCTTCGTTCCTTTTTACGTTTATAAGCTCAGCCATGTTCAGTTCTATATGCGCGCACCACAAAATGGGAGGAAACCGTTGAAGGATAATACGCATAACCAGCCCTGTTGTTTTGTTTTCTTATTTTGTTATGCAGAAATGAGCTTTGAGACATGCAATGACAGCAAGCAATATTGGCGTTTGGGGAGCAGTATAGAAGTTTTGAAGCCGACCTCTGGGGTTGGCACCGACTAATCCTTTGCTTTTTTTTTCTTGTTGCTTCTTCATCTTTACTTGTACTCTGTCAAATTTTCCTTGAGCTCTTTTTTTATTGTCTAGTATCGTTACTGAATAGGTGAAAATAATTGCTTGGTTTCTTTGCGAATATAGCCGTTGCTGTACTTTGCTTCTGCTTATGGCGTATTGAGTTGTATTGTATTGTATTGCCAGTGCCCAACTCTGCAAGGTATATGTAGGTACATATAAGAAGCTCGTCGGGTATCACTGGACACATAATCGGAGTCACTCTGCAGCAATCTTATGCCGGATGGGGTACAGCGCAGTTGTTAGCCCTGGAGCGTGTTAATATGTGATTAATTGCCTGCAGCAGTTCGCATGTTCCGAATAATCGTCCATCCTTTTACATCCATTTGCATCACCCCAACAAACCCCACCTTGCCCCTTCAAGGTGCGGAGAGCGACGTTCCGCGATGGAGTGTCTATAAGTCTGGAGACCAAGTATAAAGTATCAGTTGACTCTTGTTACTTACAACGGATTTCTTTTCTCTCCCCTTTCTTCTCTCTTCTTTTTCAAAGCATTTTCTTTTCCCAAATTTGACGACATTTCCGTCGTTGCAGAGCCGAGTTTGAGTTACTGCCATCACCTGACTTTGCTGCCCAACTCCCCCGCAATGGCGCCTCGAACCATCATCCCCATCAATGAGGGTTGGCAGTTTGGACGAACAGATGTAGAAGAAGCTTCATTTCTGCCTGTTTCCCAGTTCCCTACAAATGTCCATCTCGACCTCTTGCATCACAAACTCATTCCCGATCCATTCATCGGAAAGAATGAATTGGACGTGCAATGGGTGGGAGAGGTGAGGGCTTGGCAGTATCGTACCTCGTTCAAGGCTCCCAAGATTGCCAGCAATGAAAAGGCCATCCTCGCCTTTGACGGATTGGATACCTTCGCCGAGGTGCTGCTCAATGACAAAAAGATTCTCGAAACTGACAACATGTTTATCCCTGAGCGGGTGGATGTCACTGCGCTTCTCAACGAGACGGACAACCAACTCGTCATCACCTTTGATAGTGCGTATTTGAGAGGATGGGAGAGAGTTGAGAAGATTCCTAGTCACAAATGGGGTACCTGGAATGGAGATTACTCTAGACTGGGAGTTCGGAAAGCGCAGTATCACTGGGGTTGGGATTGGGGTCCAACGCTGTTGACGTGCGGGCCTTGGAAGCCCATCAACCTCGAGACCTACGAATCCCGCCTGGCTGATTTGTATGCAACCGTCACTGTGGATGATTCTCTTGCCAGCGCCAAGGTTGTACTTCACGCAGCAACTGAGGGAAAGGCGTCCAAGGTGCGATTTGACTTTTCATTGAACGACACCGCTCTGAGCGAGACGGTGGACGTCACGAAAGAAGGGGCTGCTGAGGCTACCTTCAACATTAGCAACCCAGAGCTGTGGTATCCCGTCAGATATGGAAAGCAGCCGCTGTACAAAGCCACGGCGACATTACTGGATGGTGATGATGAAGTGGACGTTGCATCAAAGAGGATAGGCCTTCGAAAGGTGGAACTGGTCCAGAAGCCACTCAAAGACCAGCCAGGAACATCCTTCTTTTTCAAAGTGAACAATACTCCGATATTCTGCGGAGGCAGTTGCTGGATTCCGGCCGACAACTTTACTCCACGAATCACCAAAGAAAAATACCAGAACTGGATCAAGCTCATGGTCGAAGGCAACCAATCCATGATTCGTATCTGGGGCGGTGGTATCTACGAGGATGAGCATCTGCTTGATGCTTGTGACGAACAAGGTATCCTGGTCTGGGTTGACTTTCTGTTTGCCTGCGGAAACTATCCCACTAACCCAGAGATGCTGCAATCTATCGAAAGGGAAGCTAGGGAGAATGTCAAGATCATGCGCCACCACCCCAGTATTGTCATTTACGCTGGCAATAACGAAGATTACCAGTTTCAGGAGAGTGAGGGACTCACCTACCAGGTTGAAGACAAGGATCCTCAAAGCTGGCTCAAGTCAGATTTCCCGGCCCGCTACATCTACGAGCACCTGCTCTCAGAGGTGTGCAAGGACCTGGTACCAGAGACGTTCTATCACTATGGAAGCCCTTGGGGCGGCAAGACATCTTCGGATCCAACTGTGGGAGACATTCATCAATGGAACGTGTGGCATGGCACCCAAGCAAGGTATCAAGACTTTGACAAGCTGGGAGGAAGGTTTGTCTCTGAATTTGGCATGGAGGCTTTCCCTTCTATTCGAACCATTGATGCTCTCTTGCCCAAGGGTAAAGATGATCCCGAACGACACCCGCAGTCTGATATTGTGGATTTCCACAACAAGGCAGATGGCCATGAGCGCCGCATTGCCCTTTACCTCGCAGAGAACATTACGTTTACAACGAGTCCCCTGGAACAGTATGTCTATGCTACCCAGTTGGTTCAGGCCGAGTGCTTGTCATCTGCATTCCGGCTCTGGCGTCGCGAGTGGAAAGGCCCCGGTCGCGAGTACACCGCCGGAGCTCTCTTGTGGCAGCTGAACGACTGCTGGCCTGTGACTTCGTGGGCCATCGTTGATTACTACCTGCGACCGAAGCTTGCCTATTACACTGTGAAGAGAGAGCTTAATCCTTTCACGGTGGGAATTAAGCGAGTTGAACACCGCCATCCTAAGAACAAGTATACAAGAGTCGACATTGATGTCAGTACTAAGCTTGAGATTTGGGCTTCCAACTTTACACTCGAAGATGTCAAGATCGATTGTGTTGTCAAGGCATGGGATGCGGAGACGGCTGAGCAAGTCTACAGCGAGACCATCGCATCGTCAAAACAGCTGCCTGGCAACCAGGCCACTGAGCTGACGGTCATAGATGTTCCAGTCAAGACTCCTAATGCTGGCCTAGAGGGTCGCACTGTTGTTGCCGCATACGTGTACCAAGATGGCAAGTTGCTTGCTCGATACGTCGACTGGCCGCAGCCGCTGAAGCATGTGCGCTTACAACAGCCTGAGAGCTTGCAGGCGAAGCTCTCCGAAGACGGCAGCTTGGTCACACTGAGTTCGGATAAGCCAGTCAAGGGTGTTGCTCTAGAGTGCGAGGATGAAGCGGTCAAGTTTGACGACAACCTGATTGACCTCGTTCCAGGGGAGGAGGTTACGGTGCGCGTGACAGGCGCTTCTAAGAGCACGGTGATTTCGACGAGGTATCTAGGAATGCACAGCTAGACTATTGCTCCTAGTTGTTCGTACTATAGCCTAATGAATGTACATGTATTGTCGAGCGTCGCTCTGAATATGATTATCGCCGCGATTTAATGGATGAACCGCACTTTGTCGGACTTTTCTGCTGTCTCCACGCCGTCATGAATGGTTATAAGTGGCTCGTGAAGTTATGACTATTTTGGACTCAGGGCAGATAGAAGGCCGAATAACTAAACACTTTTCCGTAAATGGGAAAGCTAGTCATGGATCCACCGACAATGAGGCTGGCCGGGGATTAAAATCTGTAGAAGCGAGATCCAGAATCCCGCGGGGCTAAATTGAGACTACGGACGCCTCTGCACGATGCCGGAATTAGGCTGGGTTTAGCAAAGTCCGGCCGTCTTATATGAATTTGAATGAAGTGGTTATGAGATGGTATGAGATAGATGAGATATCGAGGTGAAGATGGGAAGAATATAAAAAGCTCTGGAGATGGCCCAGCAGAATGGTTCTCATGAAGAGGTCATCATCGTTCTCCATTGAGACTACAAGCCTTCCACTTACACGGATACAAGCAATACAGAGAATCAGCTTACACAGACTATCCTCTTATACTTTCAACAATGGCTTCCGAGACTACTCTTGCTCCCACGCATCGAGCGATTGTTCTGCATTCTCTCGATACCCCCTTAAAAGTCGAGCAGCGACCTACACCACAAGTAACTCCAGGCAACGTCGTTGTCCGAGTGCTCGCCGCCAATGTCCTCTCATATGGCCGCGACATCCTCGATGGCACTCGTCCGTATCCTTATCCCAAGCCGTATATCCCCGGCGGCAGCGCAGTGGGAAGAATCGCTGCCGTGGGATCGGACTGCAGCACTTTTACCCCTGGGCAGCTGGTTCTCGTGGACATCATGATGCGTGCTCGAGACGATACCTCTGTGAGTTACCTGCTGGGTATTCACAATGGGTTTTCCAGTAAGACGGTCAAGCTTGCTACTGATGAATGGAGGGATTCGACTTATGCGGAGTATGCAAAGATTCCTCTTGAGAACTGTTATCCTTTGGATGAGGCTCGCTTGTTGGGAGATCCTGCGAGCGGTGGCTTGGGATATACGGTTGATGATTTGACGTATATACACCGGCTTCTGGTGCCCTTTGGAGGATTCAGGGACATTGATCTCAAGGTTGGAGAGACTATTCTCATTGGTCCTGCGACGGGGCCTTATGGCACTGCGGCAGTGAGCCTTGCTCTCGCTCTGGGAGCCAAAGTAGTCGCCATGGGAAGAAATGCTCAAGTGCTGGAACAACTCGCGACGATGAGCGACAAGGTCAAGACGGTGCAAATCACAGGATCCGTAGGAGCCGACACGGAAGCCATCAAAAAGCACGGCCCAATCGACGTCTTCTTCGACATTTCGCCCCCCGTGGCCGCAGAGTCGACGCACATCATGAGCGGGATCCTGTCTCTGGCGCACTCTGGGCGTGTAAGTCTGATGGGCGGCATTGCGGGCAACATTTCCATCCCGTACGGCGCCATCATGTTCAACGACCTGAAGCTGCACGGAAAGTTCATGTACGAGCGGAAGGACGTCAGGATGCTGATCAAGATGGTGGAGAAGGGCGTCATGGGGCTGGGGAAGAAGGTTGGGGCTCGTGTTGAGGGTAAGTTTGGGCTTGAGCAGTGGGATGAGGCGTTCACGGCTGCGAAGGAGAATGCGGGACCGGGGCAGTCTGTTATTATTGCTCCGTGAGATGTATCTCAAAGAATAGTATTTCGCTATGATTTCTTCCCACAATAGTCACAGGCTTCTATAAAACAATTCATATCAAAGACAGTTTATTTGCCAACGTAGTTGTCAATGTAGGCCTTGCGAGTCTCGGGAAAGTCGACAATGCCCTTGCCGGCGACAAAAGTCGTGTGCCAAGGGGCGTCAACCTTGCCGTCGGCCAGTTGAAGATAGACCTCTGCGTGTGCAGGACCAGAAATAGCACCTTCAATGGCCTTTCCTTCAGGGGTACGCTCATCAGCGAAGTAGAAGCTTCACGATAAACCTAGTTAGTTTGTCTGGATTTGATACACGAGGCGGTTTGGATAATGGAAACTCACCTGTATCCCTTCTCCTTATAATACACGCTCGCAGCACCAATCCATGAAGCCGCCGCACTCTTGCCGCTACCCAGAGTCACGTAGACCGGGTTGGGCATGGTAACGGCGTTCAGCCAGTTGCCAGTGTAAATAAACACCTTTGACAGCGACTTGTCAAGCTTCTCAAAGCCGGCAACAGCCTCCCTAGCAGCAACATACGCCGAAGTGCTGTTGAGCCTCAAGTCGCTCTCAAACTTTGCAATGTCAATAGAGAAGAGGTTCGTCGCGTCGCTAGGGGGGGTGAGGGCCGCGGCGTTGTAGATGACGATGTTTGGGTCTGCGCCGAGAGACTTGCGGACGGAGTCGAAGATGGGCGGGATGGAGTCTGGGTTTGTGAGGTCGGCGGCTATGGAGACTTGGGTGGCGGAGGAGGATTGCTTGGCGGAGCGGGAGACGAGGGCGACTTTGTAGCCGGCTTGGGAGAAGGTGGAGGAGAGGGCTTGGCCGACGTTGGAGCCGGCGCCGAGGATGAGAGCGATGCCTTTGGAAGCCATTGTTTATATGGTTATTGTGGTGATGGTGGTGTTGTGAAAGCTAGTGTTTAGTAATAGTTGTAATGTTGTGTTGTTGTTGTTGTTGTTGTTGTATGTTGATGGTTCTTCTCTTTGTCTGAGCATCACCACTGTCTTATACAACCTCACCCACATTCCTTCCGATATCAATCCAACTCTACAGTTTCATCAAAGCATCCCACTCGATACAATTTGTAAGCCCATCTTTGTCGATTCCAAACGACTTGCATCAAAGGATGGCTTGTACCTAAGCAAGGGCAGCTATCTACCTATCTCCAGATCCATATAATTACTCCTTTGGGGCCACCAACTTACGCCATAGACGAGGCTGATTTCGTAGCCTTGTGATTTCAAAGCCAGGCTACTACCTTTAAACCAGTAGTCTGTACCATCATAAGGCTGACAATTCATGACTTTGGGGTCAGCTTTCCGCAGTCTTGGTCTGTAAGAAGCGCGCGCGATGGATCGAGCGAATCGAAGGCGTTTGAATTGGGAGCGGGGCTGATATAATGAGCTTTAGGTAATGCGCATAATTCCGTATTTCCGCCTTGGCTCGCGTTTTCTTGCTCAAGCGCGAAGTGGCGTGATGAGTGTGCAGGCATTTGAGTGGTTTCAAACACAATATTTACTGGGGTTCTTCTTCTTGAGGGGATGGGCTTTATCGATATAAAGACGGTTGCGAATAATGTGCTTGTTGAGACGAGTTGGTATAGTACGTATGGTCAATGAGATATTGACAAGATGAGCTGAACGCTCAAAGGGTTATATTTTTTATGTTAAAAAGATTGACGACTTGTCATCGTGTATATAGCCAAGATAACTGCTGTGCTGAATAAGTATTACCAATGCCCTATTAAACCAAAACGCCATATTCCTTTTCCCCTTGATATCCCATGTGAGTAGCGTACACGTGCATCGACATCCAATCTGATAAAAGTACATGTAGCAAAAAGTAACCTGAAGAAGAAAAAAGTAGAGAGAAGAGAAGATGAACTTTTTTATGATACTGTCTGTCCATCTTCATTCATCTTTGCATTCAAGATAAACTCAAATGGATCAATCGACATGAGCGTCTCCACGTCAAACATTCTCCAGTCGAAATCCGGATCTTGAGCCCCCGGGATGCTCATCGCGGCGGTCTGGCCCTCGGCCTGCTGAAACGGCACGGCAGACGACCGTCCGCTGTTCGGAGCGTAATAAGTGAGAGACATGGACGGCACAGACGGCGGGTACGCGGAGCCGGAAGTGTCGGAGGGCGTCATCAGATTGTTGGGGTGCATCGGTAGGCCGGCCTCGGCAGCTGCGCATTGGGGGGTTCCGCAGAGGCTCTCGACTCCGCGGCAGGGGTTGGAGGACGGAACGACGGTGCAGATGATGCGGTTGATGGCCTTGATGAGGATCTGGGTTTGTGAGGGGGATGCCTCGTTGGTGGGAGTCATGCTGGATAGACAGTCGAGAGCAACGTGTAGCCACGGCAAGTGAGTTTCTACTTTGCTCTTGTCCTGGAGCATGTCGAAGCCTAGGACGTAACAGGCACCCTCTAGGAAGAAGGAGAAATATTTCACCTCCTGAAGAATGGAGTTAGATCATTATCTTGGGATGTGGAATGATTTTAGACGTACCTTGCAGAGGTGATTGATCTCGCACGACTTGTTGATGTACTTGATAATCTGGCGGGCTGGCTCAACGCAATACTCGCATGCAGTGTCAAGCCATGTAAGCTCCCTGAGTTTGTCGCATGACTCGGCTCCAACCTGCGGCGCGGGAGTCCTAAGCTTGCCCCTGAGGACGAGGAATGGGCGAAACATTAACAGCTGAACGTGGTGATACACTAAAGACGAATTCATATTAGTTTTTGATGACAATTGTAGAGACGAATCGAGGTTTCTCAACGTACTCGAGGCGATGATGGTCTTGCAGAATCCGCATTCTCCTGTCCCCGGCTCACCCTGAATGTCGAGGTGAACATCAAACAGCTGCTCTTCTGCATACGCCTGCAGCTCGTGGCGAAGCTCGGTTGCCGCGTTCCACATGTGTAGTAGCGACTCGTGATGTTGGTTATAGATGCGTGCTGCACACTTTGAGACAAGTCTCGCCAGCCGAACAAGCGCCAAGATGAATTTCTCCTCCGCCGGCACGGGGACTCCGCAGCCCGGGTCTGATATGGAGGTCGGGCGTCCAAGGCAGAAGCAAACCCAGCTGTTGGATGAATGTTAGTAAGGAGATTCGAGTGACTGAGAGTGTAAACAATAGAGTGTACATACGTTTCCATGATGAAGAGACTCCAAAACGTCAACCTCCGTTGTAAGCAATCTCGCATCTGCCCTCGAATGCTGATTCCCCTATGCAGACCAGCCGCAACAGCTTTCCTTGACGCCACACCTACGTATAGAAACGCAGAATGAGGCCGTGACCTCTCAAGTTGGAATTGGGCTTGTAACAAAGGAATATGGATTGCTTGGATATTGACAAGCTCGTCCAACTTGTCAGCTCCTTGTGATGCCCGCTGGAACAAGAACTGCGCTAACGCTTCTTCTTCGAGGATGGATGCGCCAATGGCCATTGCTAGCATCACGACGACAACATCGGGAGAGTCAAAGGAGAAGAGCCCCGGCGAAGAGTACAGAAGCTCCGCACGGCGACGAAAGTCCTCCTTGGTCAGGATGGGCAACAAATGCCAGAACGTTGCCAAGTACCGCTCCAACACACGGTTACACAGCTCCCTATCCAGGAACATGGCGGAATAGTCGTTGGCCATCGTCGTCGACTTGCCATCAGCTAGATCGCCAAAGAAGAGCTGTCGGTTCTGGAACAGGTCAAGCCCAGGGCCGACCTGGGCTACCTCTTCTCGCCGTGTCAGCGGAGTCTGGATACCTGTGATGAGTCTGTAGATGGAGTGAAGCATGGAGAAGTTGGATGATGGCCCATAGTGCAGCTGAATGATGGACGACGGCGAAGTGGTGATGGCTGCCACGCTGTGGACGTGGAAGCCCCAGCTGTTGTCGTCCTTTGGCTTGTCCCGACTCTCCGGGGCCACATTGATCGGAGCCGGAGCCTCGTCCGTATTACTAGCCCCGGACGAGGAGACTGCGCCGGCTGCCGGCGTCTGAGACTTGCGAGGCCGGTTCCTCGTCCGGACCCGATAGACGCACGACACGCTCCGGTTGAGACATCGGGCACACGGCTCCTTGCCGTCACATCTCGTTTTCCGGACCCGACACGCCTCGCAGGCCTTGCCGATGTTGGTCATCTGAGCGCCGGAGTTTCACGATAGGAACAACTAAACAGAAATGTGGGAGACAAACGCCGGGTCGAACGGGGAAACTGGAGATAAGCGGGATTTCCGGAAATGCAGCTCGCGAGGCGTGAGATGCTTCTCCTTCGGCTGGGTTTGAGCAGCGGAATAACAGAACAACAGGCAGTATACTATTCAATGGATCTTTGTATGTCTGGGAGAGGCAATCGAGAGAGAAAGAGCAGCATTTGTCAGCCAGAGTTTATCGATTGAGCATCGAGCTTTGAGCAGCTTGCCAGTGAATCCACACGCCCAGTTGCAGACGTGAAATCACCAATGAGACGGTGTAGGATCGACAATTGCATCTGCGAATGACTTGAAGGGGCGGAACGCGGAATTAGCTGGTTGATATACTATGAGTCGTTGCGGCTTCAAAGCGTTATCGATAGTCTCGTTTGCCACACGGAGTGAAAGGGCGTCGGAAATAGAGCGCTTGTGGGCAGTCTTGCTTACAATTCCGCCCGTATAACTCCGACGCCTGTCCACATCCATCGAAAGGGGTTTTGACAAAGGTTGAAAAAAAGCTTAAAGAGCATGACAAGAGTTCTTCAGGGCCTGAGAACCAATCGGTTCAAAGACCGCAACTCATACCTGTTTATGCATTCCACCAGCGACACTTGTGAAAACCAGGTTGCGTTGCAATGTAGGCAAGTTCAAATTGCGATTTTGTGAGAAAGAACTAATGCATATTACCTAATATCTTCTACAACGTAACTTTATATTAAACAGGTGGTTGTCTCATGGTCGCTGAGACAGGTAGAATGTAAACCAAGAATATCCAAAATAGAAGAAATAGATGATAACCCAGGAAAGTGAGATACAAAAGAAATGTAGAAAATGAAAGTCCAAATAGTTGGCCAAATTACATGACACATAAATAACAAGGTGTCGCTCTGCATGGCATCATCATCATGTTGGCGAGCTAATCGTGAGAAGAAAACAGGCGGCATGCGGGCATAGTCAAAGGCGTTAAACGGTAGCCTGTTTGGTGTCGTGAAAAGTTGCAAAGATAAATGAGTCCAATTTTCTCAGCGCACCGCGGCCTGGGAACTTGCGACCCGGCTTCCTCATTGCATGGCTGCAACGAGTCTCTTCGCGGGAAATGCTTTGACGTAGAACCGGATCGTAATCACGTATCGATAGCCCTTTATACTTTTCTCCCTCGTATGCATAAAGTGCTTTCAACTCGCTGCAATCCTGCGCTGTGACTTGCAGGTTTTCCAGATCTTCCTGATAGTTCATGATTGATAGAGGGTTCTTCTTTCCAAAAAGGACACAGTGGAATCCTCTTCCCTCTCTATGTTTTTCATCTGCAAACTCATGCCGCAACCCCATGATATGGCCTATTTCGTGGGCAAAGATATTGGCCAGATAAGCGCCTTTAGAGAGGCCCAGCTCATACACAAACAATTTGGCCGGCGATTTTTTCGGCAATGCGTCTGGGAAAAAGGCCTGGCATAGGTAGTTTCGCATTCGTCGGGACTATACCTCACGACGAAGGTAGCTGAACCGTAGTAATCGACTTCTAAGTACTTGAAGCTCACACCAACGTCCCCCCACACGTCCCCCCACGCGTCAATGGCTTTTTGCATCGCTTCTTTTACCTGTGTTGCGTCGGTAATTGTCGGTAATTGTCGGGAAGCTCTCGGCATCAACTGTATAGGTGAGGATGGAACCTTTGAGCCAGCGTGATATATGGTCCCCTTGCCCAACACGCGCTTTGGTACATCCATATGTCTCGGTGGCACATCTGTACTTAGCCACTGCTGTGTGAAGAGGCACGGCAGTCCGGCGAAGAAATGTAGCTGCGATTGTAGCGCCAGTCTCGGTACTCGATATCTGCGACTCAGGGATATAACGGCATGGCGTATCGTGATGAACCAATAAAGTACGACCATCGGAGTTGGATATTGACCCAAGAGCCTCCATATAAAGTTTGCAGCTGTTTTCACCGATGCTGCCTGTCTCGTGTTGGAGGGTTGTGCAGCTCATCGCATCAATTGGGGCATCATCGTGATTATTAGAGTGGATTGAGATATCTCTTCTCCCCACAGAGGACGAATAGCTGGTATCAGAGCGTGAGGCATCATCACCGGTGCCAGTGTTAAAGCGTTGGGCAGAAGGCCATGTAATTGTGGTACATTCTGATACATGAAAAGTTGGTTAACATATGATCTAATTAATACGAAAACACCATAATAAGCAAAGAAAGAGATGTAGTTGCCATACTCAAGAGTATCACTGTTGTTTTCTTCATCAAAGACCGCTTGGAGACTCTCACAATGCGTCGAGATGGCATTAAAGCCGTTTTGGTCATTTCAGGGAATTATTATTTTATAGAAGAGCTCAAAGTAGTGAAAATATGGAATTATAATGAATGCTTTTGATGTGTGATGAGAAAGGCCAGACCATCGTTCAACTTGGGCGAACATCTCTCTGTATATATATGTATACCCGTCTCGTATTCTTTACCAGAAAGGGTAAAATTCTAATGGCAGAGTAGTTTGCTCCCCCACTTTTGTCACAGGCAGTGGTTGCACGTTAGCTCCTTCTCTTTCACGACTTAACATGATTGGTGGCATCACGAGGCAGGTGAACGTTAGCTCCTTCTCTTTCACAACTTAACATGATTGGTGAGCTTTTGTGGGAACCTTAGTTTTCTTTGTTCACTTGATAACTGGAATATGATTGGTGAGCCTTTGTGCTGTGGACCTGTCAGTTCGCCCAATACGGTGACTGTCGGAATGACTAGGATACTTTATTTACAGATACAACGCTATGCATAGAGAGGTGTCACTTCACTTTTGCCATAGCGGTCTATTTCAACAGTGACCTACCGACACGGATTACATAAAGATTTATCTTACCAGCTCAGACAGAGAGTTGTGTCCATCCACGACTGCTTGAACATATCACAGTGCTAGCACAAAGGGGGCATGTGAGCGCACTCATAAACCAGGCACTCAAGAAACGCTTGAGGTACATCACTGAGCACCCAATTAGGTTAATGTAAAACTTATGAGCTGCAGCAGTGCTCATGGTGTTTCATTACAATGGCTTGCCATTTCTCATTCGAGAATAAACTCGTGATCAACAGTTTCCAGAATTTTTTTCCAGCCTTAATATATGAACTCAATAACGCATAAGGGCAGGATTCTCTAGGGAAGAAGCTGCCCAAAAACTCATAGTCCAGACACCATCGTCTATTCGTGACCTTGTCCGAAACCTTCTTGGATTAGACCCAAGTGCCGGATCACCCTCAGGGTAAAAAAAGAGAGAGGGGCAGTTCAGTGTAAGTGATAAAACAAGATAAGGATCAATGTGACAAAGGATATGAGAAGCATAAGTAGCGTGAAGAAAACAAAGATCAGGATACAGGTTCTGTATAACATCGTGGGGTTGACGGCCAGGTGATTTAAGAACGGGCATGCTGATATGTCTGTTGCTGTAATAGCGGCTGAAACAACTGGAGGCACATGGTCGCTTTTGGGCGGTGGAGAGAAAGTCCTTGTCTGTCAATATTGTTAGCAAAGTTCAGTAAGGGCTACCTATGCCATCTCCTCGCCAGACTGCCTTAATAAAGGATCTTACTTTTGGATCGATGTCAGAGATTGACAGCTCTCCTTCATCATATGCATAAAACTTTTCCAAGTCTTGGAGATCTTGTTCAGTAACTCGATATTTGCTTAAGTGGTCAAAGTAGTTCATCACTGAGTTAATGTTCTCGCGTCCAATGAGTATGGAAGGCTCGGTTTCTCTTTCGTCAGCAAACTCATGCCTGAGACCCAAAATGTGACCAACTTCATGGGCCAAGATATTGGCCAGGTAATCAGTGTTGGACAGGCTTGGCTCAAACAAGATTAACTTGCCTCCTGAAGCCTGTGGGAAGAAAGAGACAGCATAAACACCTTCGCTTATGTCTTCGTAAACGACGGCGAATGTAGCTTCATCGTGGCACCCAACTTGGCTAAAACGTACACCAATACCTTTCCACATAGAAGTGGCTGTTCTCATCGCAGCTTTTACCAACATCGCTGATTCCTCTGTTGGGAAACTCTCTTCGCAGATGACATAGCTGAGTTCAGAACCTCTACGCCAGCGAGATATTTGGTCTCCGAATCCAACGCGCACCTCAGCATATGCGCGTGCTTGAGTGGCACACAATTTGTGCAGGAGCTTGGGAGCCTGGGTGGTTGTGGGGGTGTCATCGGGCTTGATAGCCCCAGAGACACCCTCGGCTTGGTTTCCATCATCAACCAGTTCCAAGCTATCGTCATGGTGGAAGTGCCCTTTGTCGTCCGCAGACCCGAAGAGCCCAAGAAGGGAGCATCTGTCGTCAGAAGTCTCCTTACTCGCTCTACCATTGCCTTCATCAGTGTTGTCACCTTCGGCACCAAGACTTTTGATGCTCGACACGATAGTGCAAGCATCACTATGAACAAGGCTAGGGATCAAGTCACTCATACCCTCCCCTAAGGGTGAGTACATGTAATGGGCTTCATTAAGCGATGCGCCATGGTTATTAGTCTGCGTGCTACAGACTTTGGCAGAGGGCGGTTGAGTTGGAGCATCCTCTATGATAGGTACACAGACAGTCAGCTAGGGTACTACACTCCCAAAAGTAGCTTGAGGAGAGACAAGGACGTACGCATAACACGGACAAGGCGGAAAGACATTGTTTTGACCGCCCAAGATGGCTTAGGGGCTCACTTGTCTAGGCTATACCCACGTGGCTGATAGTAAGGTAGACAAGGCTAGGGAGGGAACTTGTCTTACTGTTTCCAGTAGAGTATACCTCGAGTTCAAACAGAATGCTCAAAACACTGGATTCAAGAAAGAAGATGTTGAACGGTGATGTTCGTTGAAAAGTAGCCAGAGTATTGCCTCCTCTTATACTTGCCCCTATCGTTTGTAAAGGCACAGCGGATACGAAGCCATCGCCAGAGTCGACTCCGACCATTCCTGTGCCCTGTCTTGCTACTAACGTCGATTTTGAGACCGCTAGAGTCGATTTTAAGGACGACTAACGTCGATTTTGGGACGACTAGACTCGATTTTAACCCCAGTGTTGACCTGTCATGCTACTAACGTCGATTTTGAGCCTGCATTTTGGTCCGTCATGCTACTTACATCAACCCTACACCCTGTTGTGTATGCAAAATCGCCTCTAGTAGCATAATTGGTCAACACCGAGCGTCAAAATCGAGGTTAGTTGTCTTAAAATCGATGATAGCGGCATGATACATCAAAAACAAGGTATAAAATCGCTTCTAGCGTCATGAGAGTAGATTAAAGACCAGGATTAAAATCGCTTCTAGCGGCATGATACATCAAATACAAGGTTCAAAATCGTTTCAAGCCGCAGACGCTGCAAGTTCCGGGGTGTAAAATCGCTTCTAGC